ACAGAGATATAAGCAAAATCCAATAGCGCGGTCTCACTATTAATCGAATACAAAAAAGCTTTAAAAAATATTTCCTATCGGACTCTTCCGGACATTTATTACGGTTCATGTATTTCATCTTTCTATCAAAACTCTCACTGCAATGTAATAACAAACGAACAATGTATAGCTGTGTCAACTTCCTCTTTAATTAGACCTGAACACCTTATAAGTAATCACAATAAAAATAAAACAGATGAATTTACAAAATCTGAAAAATGAAACTTATCATTACTACACAATCAGAATCGCCATTATACCATATTTGTAATTGACTCTCCTATATAATAAATTTTTTGTAATTGATTTTTGTAATTGATTTTGTAATTTTTTGTAATCCATATTTGTAATTGACTCTCCTATATACAAAAACATATAGAAGATGTAAAAATAAGAAATACTAAATAAATAGGAGGCATAAAAATAATATTAAATTACTTTCAAATAGAAACATGGAAAAGAAATAAAATACATATGAACTCTGCAAATTAAAATAATTGTAAGGAAAATACCAAAAATCACAAAAATTAATTCATTAATCATATTAATGTGTTAATACAGCACAAATCAGTAATCAGATTATAACTAATACTGTCACCCGCTAGAACCATATATGCACGACACCGGGATCTTTTCCATTCATTCATGCTATGGCAAATTCACATCTCGGTGTCAAAATAATTTTAAGCCTCAGGTTTACGCGAATCTACCCATAGTGTGTGCTTTTGAATGATCATATCAGTGACAATGTTCACATTTTGACACAACTCAGCAATATGTTGATCCCATTCTGCTAAAGCATCCTTTGTCGCTATCGCATCTTCATCCACGGCATCTGCAATAATCTAGATTAACAAATCATAGATCAACTGTATCCAGAACGTTGATTCCATCAATTCAATTTGTAAAATTCCACAACATTCAAAACGGAAGTGACAGTGCGTTACAAAAAAGCTAACAGATATAAGGAAAAGGGCAAATCAAATATCAGCATATAGCCAAATAAGAACAGTAAAATGAAATCAGAAATACACCAACGAGTAAAATGTACAATTCCGTCGACTTGGTCGATGATGCCTCCAACACGTCCATCAGCGATAATTTGCCATGCCATTTTCTCTGCCTTCAATGGATGAATATATTTTACAAAAATATACACAAAAGTATAAAATCTTTTAGTCATTTGAATTTGAAAAAAAAAAAAAAAAAAAACAACTAAGCATCTTGCAACACTTGACAACAAGGAACGAAATAAGGCAAGTATAGCTGAAACCCTAAACAAAGCAAAGACAATGAAGCAAGTTTCTAAATATTTAATGAGTCTGTAGAAAGTAAGCACAAAAGTAAAAAATATACTTCAATTTCCCTGTTCCACTTTTTTTATTAACGTTTGTAAGAAATAAAGCACAGATATGTATATAAATTGTGAAATATAAAATTTAAAGGACCTGTCTACGATCAATGTCGAGAAGTTTAGCAAGCTGTTCAAATGTGATATTGGCGAAAATTTTGCTAACTGCAGTAAAATTGTGCTCAATGACGGCTCGTTGCAGAAGACTCCAACCATCATGAGTAACTCGCTGGTGCAAAGATAACGATTTTTCAAATTCCATCACCTCAAAACAATAATACACCAAGTGAAAAAGTTGCTAGATGTATAAAGTTTAATTTACAAACAAAACTCGACAACTTTATATATTCCTTACTGCAAGTTTCACAAAATACGAAAACGAAAGCTTTAAAAAAGAAGATAAAAGAGAGAGAGAAGAAAAAAAATAAAACTCAAAAAGTGTCACTAAAAAGTTACTTCATCATTTCGAATGAGCCTTTCAAAATACATTTTTTGCAATATACCATATGCTGCTAAGCTAGAACAGCGTTCATCTTTATGCAGTGTTGTTAACATACGAGATCGTTGCGCACCTGCAGAATTATATGGATCATAACGCAGCAGCGAAGTGTAAATGTCTGACTGCTGACAAAAGATTGATCTAAATCACAGATTCTCTGTATGACGCATATCTGGCATATCCTTCAGGATCGCCTCTCAACATCTAATAAAATATCTAATTCGTTTACTTTCATTTCCTTAGTTGAAAGATTCCTGCAATTTTAAGAGGACCAATTCTGAATATGTTCCGGCTAGTTACGAGCTTATGAATTAGTCCAGTGATTATTTAGCTTATAATTACCATTAATGACATTGAAACCTATAATTTTAAGTTAATACAAAACGAAACATTGCTACACAATACCTGGTGAAGCCAAAACTGTGCAAGAAATGGCATTCGTAAGTGCTTGCAATTTCTCGGAGGTAGTCAACATATTTTGGAATAACGAAAGATCATAGTATCGCTGTGCAGCTTCAATAAATTTATTTCGATGATCCAACACTTTCGCGTACAAAGACTAAAAAACTGTTTCATCTGTTTATTTTGTTAATTTTAAGCACGAGCATTCAACATATAATTTGAAGAATTTATGAAATATATGCATTTCGGTCTGATTTATTTCTTGATAGATTTTTACCCAGCTTCTACTTTAAAGAATAATTCTATTCTACTCTATATGGATTGCTGCCTTTTTTTTTTTTTGCTTTATTTTCAAAGAAAGCATTTTCATTTCATATCTCTCTTACTTTGAATATCACAATTAACTCGTCATCTTTTGAAACATCGTTGAACAACATCGAGGCACGATTAACAAAACTTTCTGCTTCCTCTGAATTTTTATAGTCCAAAGCTAACTGCGCTATCCTTAAGTATGTACGCATTTTCAATTCTGGAGGGTACGTCCTAAAATCTACCTTTTGAAATTAAAAAGTTAGAAATGACAAATTGTATATGCAATATTATAAACAGTAAAAATATGATATTCTATTTGATTAGAAATTTATAGAAAAAGCAGGAAATAAAGACTGCCTAATTATGCCCCGAATCACGAGAAGCTAATTGGAATATTGAACATAAAATTGGAGTATGAAAATCAACCTTTCGCTATTCTATTGTTATTTCATAAACTTAAGCATACTGCTCAGAAAACGATTTCTACTTAAATTTTCTACTAGTATTTATAGAAACATTTCACAGCATGTATATTACTACCACAAACTTCTACCTTTGTCCTGTCTCCAGAGGTATAGCCATAAGTATTTTCGCTGCTTCGCCACTATCACCATCGCCTTCGTACAAGTCTGCAAGTCGAAAACGTAACTGCGTTACCTGAAACACTAGCATGACTTTTTCTTCAATATTAGTAGTCTACCTAATGAATCATGTATGGTAATAATCAGAAGATCCGGCAGCGCACGTGAAATTACAGTTCAAATACATGCAAAAATATAAGCTTAGAAATGTCACACATGAAGCGAAAAATAATGTACTATAAATGTATAGAGTCATTACTTGTTCCTCGTAAGAAATTAGGCGTGATTGCACAATATTCAGCAAAGCTTTAGCGACTTCTTTGACAAGACATGGCTTCAAATCATCCAGCGCCGCTACTATGTCAGTAACGAATTGTCTAGATACTACCATTGAGATAGTCTCTTTATTGACAACTATAAATAACATATGTGCCTTGTGGGATAGTAAGAAAATCAACTGATGATGACGAGAATCAGTTCGTTATCCAAAATTTTTACATTGAAATAGAAATTATCCAGTTTTCATACTTACATGAAATAACAAAAGATTTGCTGGATCGCTATCTGGATCAACATATCAAGCATGAAATTTTTATGGCTTATGTATGGAAAGTCTCTTCCACAACTAATCAAATATTACAAATCACTCTAATCACAATCACTGCTACTCCTTAAAGCTCATCAAGTCAACTGTAAAATCACGTTTCTTTTATATTTATTGAAAAAAAAAAAAGATAATGCAGATAAAACTTACCAGCTTCCGCTATACGGCTAACATTACTACTGATGTCTCTCTCGTTATTGCCAGAACTCAATATTGACTGCAGTAATGCTTTTAATCTAAAATATAATTTAGATGCAAAATATTTCATTTTATTTAAAACGAAGTAAAGTCATGAGTGTAAATGACCCGTACTTTCAGATATAAAGTACTCGTTTCAAACAAAAGAAAGGGAGAGGAGAAAAAAAAACACCTTGCACTTTGACTTTTGTGATCTGATTCATCAATAAATATATTACCAACAGCCGTTGCAATTTCCTCCGCCATTTGTGATATACAATAGAGAGGGCTGAAAAGACATATACACTAATGTATACCGATTGAATGAGATAATTATGTTATAGAATCCTCAAGCAGATGTGGATTTCTAACCTTACGTGCTAGAAAACAGTTAAAGGAGAGGAAAAAAAAATGAAATGCATCATAAAGCATTACTATAAATAAGAAAAAATCCAATGATAAATGATATCACCAACAATGTTAGCCAACAAAAGACCACACCGTTCTTGAGATTTGAACGCTGGCCAACCAACCGTAAAATACCAAGCGCGGAAATTTTCTTGTGTTGGATGTTCGTTATGAGAAGTTCTACACTGAGGTTGAAGTAAGGTGGTGGGTTCATTTTTGTTGGGACAGTAATCACAGCAAATGAGTTAGCTTCTGCAGTAGTGCCTTTTTTATTTTTGCTTATGATTTTACAGCTTATAGTTTTGCTCAGACAAGTGTCAGTATATTTCTCGAGAAAATGATTACTTCCAGGTTTTCGTTCTACTGATCATATCTGCTTTTGTGAAATAGAAGGTGAAAGCTCTTTATTCTAATTCAGCGACTTAAGTAATTCAAAGTAAGCTAAAATAATTTATAATAAGGTAAAGTAAAGAAACTTAAAGTGACATACTGTATATTGATATCATAGGTGAATATAAGACTTCAGAAAGAAACACTATGTGAGATATCCAAAAAAAGCTAGTTAATTATCGTTTTAAATTATAATAACTAATTATTTTAGTGTTATGCCCACTACTGATGAAATTCATGGTGCATCGGCACCCGAAAAATTATATAACGTGTAGAAGAGTATTGTCAAGAAGGCTTCATGGTTTTAGCCCACTCACCCCATTATTGTATGCTGAGTCCTGTTACTTGACAAAAGTTTTGCAGTATGTTATTGAAGGTTGTTTTCTTTAATTGTTGATACGGATTTTCTTAGTGAAGACAAAAACAGATGTAGATAGAAATGAATTAGTCTACCTCAATTTAGAATAAAGCTAAATTATTCGTATAACTTTCATCTTCGATTCCTCAAAAATTGGAGAACGTTCTGGGAGTTCTTGGTTGCTTAATTCTCTAAAGTTTCCTTCATTATTTTCTGGTTTTTGCTGTTCGTGGCTCACTGTCACACCAATGTAAATCTTTGGAAATAAATGACACGATAAAGTATTTCATGTGTAAGATATCTTCAATGTTAATTTTTATTTAATATTGCTCATAAATGGAAAATATCCAAAAGTTAAAAACTTTTTTAGGCATACATTCACTGGAAATACCATGGGCGGGCACATTTATGCTTTCCGGAGTGCTATTTCGCATTGCTAGTTTGCCACTGCATGTGTATGCAGAACGACTGTCTGCTGAAAGATATCGTATTGTCAACACTTTGAATTATGAGCTCATTAAAGTTGGCGGATTTTTCGGATCAAGAATTGTTTTGTTATAGTAGTCGTGAACCTTTTTTGTGATTGAGTAAGCAAACAATTATGAAGATCAATTTGAGTATGTGAAAAATTGAGCGTGATAGTCGCAGTAAGAAAGTTGCTTTGTGATTATAATTTTAAAGTGCTGTATTAAATACTTTTTCAGAAGTTTAGCAAGCATTATAATTTGAATATCATTTCAAGTAAAAATGGTCGTTTCTTACAGCTTGACACGACTGACAAATCCATATTGCAGACGACCAATAAAGTGGTGGGTGGTTATTTTTAAAAATCATAATTTATGAAAATGTTCTCTGGAATTCGGTGTTTCTGAAGAGTTTTCAATTTTTCCTGCTTTATTTTTTCAGTCTAAAGAAATTATATTGGATTTTTGCTATAAGCGTCGCTTACAGCTTCCCCGTATTCAATATTTGAGATTTTGTGCGTTGTCAATATGGACGTTTTCTTCATTTGCGATACGAAATGTCATAAGTTGTTAGTACTAGTTAATTTTCTTCGAGTTCGTCGTCCATTCTTTTTAGATTGTAAACACAGGTTTTTTTCTTATTCATAGTTTCTGTACGAATAGTTTTTACGAACATTTTCCTTCAGTTAATTGAATTTTTGTGAACTAATTTCCATGCATCTCTCTTGAGCAGTGCGAGATTTTTGGTGAATTGATTGTTTCAGCGGAAACTGGTTATCCTTTTCAAGGCATTTTTTGGTTTCCGGATCTGTTGCAGCCTGATCCTTATTATATTCTACCGGTGTCAGTTGGTATTTTAGGAATTATTAATCATTTTGTAAGTTTTCACTTAAAAATGATTTTCTTGCAACTTGAAGAGTGTTTCTTATACTCATATGACAACTCTTGGAAATTGAAAGTATAGATAACTCTGCAAAAGATTATCAGTAAGTAGTAATAGTACTGTTAATTGCTGATTGTTTACCTTCCTGTTAATAAAATGGTATGTATAATAAAATGGTATGTATAATGCTAATTAGTTATTATATTACCTTCCTGTTAATAAAATGGTATGTATAATGCTAATTAGTTACTATGTTTCTATTTAATGTTGTTAAGTTGATATGTCACGCTGTATTTATTATATATTATTTCAGGCGCAACAGCGTATATATACTTATAGTTCGGTTAAACTGATGTTGGTTATCAATGTTTGTTACTCGTTATTCATGATTGTTGGTATATATTTCATGTCGTATATGCCTGTGGTAAGTTCCTTTTATTCTGCTTATGGAAGGAAGTGTTGAATTTTTAAAATCATGCGTTAAAGTTCTAAAATTAGTTTGTTTCAGTGTATTCCATTGTTTTGGTTGTCTGTTTCTTTGACTGGATGCATACAGCATTTTGCATTCAGACACCCTAAAATCAAAAAACTGCTTGGTATAAAGTCGTTACCCTCAGATTCTGCCACTCCTATACGAGATTTTTTCCTTTTCAAATGAATTTTTCTAAAAAATATCTCTTGATGTGCGTAAATGGAAGAGGACGCATACAGCTTGCTATTAATACTAATGGAAGTTGAATACCGTGTGGAATTTTATGATCTATTTTAATTGTGTTGTCCTTTTATTCAATTTATTTGATACCGTCGAAAATAATATCCTTCATGATGTAACATATTGGTTATGTCGTTATAATCTTATTACGGTATGCTATGCTACACTGTTTACCTCAACTAATATTGCACAACTTTTCGTACACATTGCTTCAGATTTATGATATACATACATGTGTGACTAAGAAATATTAGTCTTAATTTTACGACCAACTGTGGAAGATAAATCACTCTTCTTTGCTTCACCCCTTCTCTCTCCTCTCGCCTCCCCCCCCCCCCCCCTTTTTTTTTTTTTTTTGTCCTCTCAAGAATGAATGAGATGTGGAAGCTGGCAAAACTCAACTATTGGTGCTAATTCTCTTCTGGTGGGTTATTAAATTTGTAATATCTGTGCAAAAAAGGATTCTGAAACAGTTTAGAGCAATAATATACACAACTGAGCAATCTATCCTGATCGCATGGTTGTAAAATCTTTAGGTTCATAGGTTACTTGGTATCTAATATAAAATGATTCTGTTTATAATTCCTTCCTCGAACTTTTGCTTAACGACTTAAATTGTATTCTACAATATATACATTTTAATTATAACAACAAGACTGATCTATGTAAATCTGTGAAATGTGTACTGTATTATCAAACTTAATTTTCCTTCATGGAACACGTAAAACTCGTGATAACATAAAGCAGATAATTTTGATTTGTGACAGTGATAGGTTACAAAATTTAGATACACGCAGTGTGTAAAAAATAAATTTGAGTGGATAAAACGAGCGCAATATGATTTTTTGGTGCTGTTTTAATAAAAATTCACTACATTGGAAGGTGGAAAACGAGGAACATAAATATTATACATTGTTTATTCTATTTCCTTTCAAGTTATGGTAGAAATTATTGTATTGATTTGAAAAAAGTATAAATGAAATTTAAAGAAATGCAAAGGATGACACATGAAGTCACTCAATAGTCAGAAAGTATACGATGAAACATATACAGTTATGATGGCAATGTTATGTGTTAAAAGTACATGAGACCGTGAATAAATATTGAGATGTAGCATTACAACAACCGTTTTTGGTCCCTCAATAGGTGCTATCATTTTTACAATGCCTGCAAAAAAGGAAGAAAAAAAGATAACTTCTTTTATTAAAGCTAACATTCTTTCCTATTTTTTTTACTTAAAGCCCATGATTTCCTAAAACAGATTTTGGTGCTGAAAGAGGATGTGAAGTATATTTTTTTTTTGTTAGAATTTTTGTCAGAAAATTTATGTTTTTTCTTTTGTAAAGTAAACAATTTGTCGTACTTCACTTTTAAAATGTTTTACCTATATTTTGATCCTGTTGTACCACAAATCTGTCTCGATTCGCCTTATCGATTTTATATTCCACTGAAAACGGCGTATCCATTTGCGCTCGTACATGAGAAATCTATGATAATAGTACTTTCTGTCAACGAAATACAAATTTATTTTTGTAAAGCTTAATTCTTGCTACATAATTTCATCTGTCATTTTATTGTTTTTGAAACTTTATTACAAATTATAGCTGGTGACTAACTTCGATTGGATGTTTTACGTGTTTGGTGGATGGTAAACTTCTGAACTGATATAATATCTCTTGAGTATGATTACTGATACAAGCTGGATCATTTGGATAGCATCGTTTTAGGCAGGAATAACCATCGTCCACCAAACTGCAATCCGTTTCAATTCACCGTCTTCGTTAAGTTTAATGCATAGTTTTTCAATCAACCGAGCCATAAAGAATAGTTTTGGGCTATAAGTATTATTGAATGTCAAAATGGTGATGAATCATTGAATAGAAGTAAGTAGTAGATATCCACCTAGTTCACTCGATCTGGATACTGAAATTGGTAGCATTTGTATGATATTGCATACTGAGTTATAAAATGATTTTGAAATGCGTCTCCTTGTTGCCAATAATCAGAATATATAGCAATAATTATATTAGTTAAGGTATATTAGCAAAGCATTACAGACTATTAGTAACTCTTCTGATTTTTAACTTTTTACCACTTTCATCTTCCATAGCACTAATGTTAAATAATTTGTTAGTTAACAACGTCGGCTATACTGTTACGATTTTTTTGTTAGAAAAGACAAACGCACATGTATTCCATTAATTTATCAAAGCTGACATCCAATACAACATTTAACATTTAATTTGTATCAAACACTTACAAAACAATATTGAAAAATTTTTTTTAACCTTATAAAGATATATAAACATAGAAACATCTTCTAAATACCATCAGTAAGAAGGCACGCCAAAGTTATTAACTTAGAAAGACAATTATAGCTAGACATTTTAAAAATATCACTACGATATATAATATCAAATGGGACACTCCCCACTCAGCTTATCCTTTATTTCAGATGCATATGAATATAAACAGGAAAACTTAATCCAATGCACAATTCAACAAAACCATCACTAATTGTCAATTCTGGTCATATCTGGAATCTATAGGATATTGCAGTGATAGTATTCTTGAAAAATTTTCAGGAATTCTTTTGCAAATAAACAAAACAAAAGAAAGTCGACCGTATTTAAAAAATAATGAAATATTTTACATTTAATTTTTCTAGTGCAATTAAACAAATACATTAATTACAAGAGAGCAAAAGCTACCTTTACCTTAATAAGTGTAAAAATTGTTTCTATTCCATAGGTTTTTTTTTTTTTTGTTAGTAAGCAAGAAACAATAGACAAGCAGGAAGAATTAGAGAATAAAGATCGTCAAAGAATGCCCACATGATAAGGAATAACGTACTGATATGCGCTACAAATCGTTAAGATTTTGTAACGTCACTGATAAAACTAATATTACTGAAAAAATAAAACGAAATAAATAACGTCATACTATTAAAAAAATCTCATGAAAGACATACTATTGGTGTGTTTGATTAATTCAGCAAATTAAATGAAATAACAGGAAGAAGCAAAATGAAATTAAAAAAGAGTTACAGACGAATTTCATCTATATATTCAGTCTTATATAAAATGATACGAACATATTATTTCCTGATTTGCTTGAAATAGAAGTGAAAATAGGTGATCCACACGTCACCATAGTCAAATAATCCTTTCCTCAAAACTACCAATTTTTGAAAATTAAAGATAAACTCGCCAGGGAATTGCTTAAGATCCAATCATTAACAAACTATTTGGAAGAGATCATAAGTTAACACAAAGAAATATCACAATATGCTTGATTTTGATTTAGTGTGTAGAAGAAAGTCACAAATAAAAATTAAGTTTTCACTAACTGATCACAAATAAATTAAGTTTTCACGTTATTTAAACATGAAAAATTTTAAACGTGCTAAATTTTCACATTATTGATCCATGATATATCCGGGTATTTCAAAATCAAGTAAAAAGTTACGACAAAATGTTGGCAAATTTATCCATATCTAAATCGATTGTTTTTTTAAGTAAAGTCAGTTACTCGTTGAACTAAGATGAAACTGTCTTAATTCTGAAAATTTTATTTAGTTAAACTATCAGAAAAAGGGGTTGTCCGTTGTCTACGATAAGGAGCAACATTGATTACTAAATTAGCAATAAATTTACTCTGAAATACACCATTAATACTAAGTCTTAAAATAAGCTCTAAAATGACCTCCTGCGGTCCATCCAGCGAATCTCTCAGAGCAATTATTGCTCCATTTTTTTCCTCACTTTTTTGCAATAGAAAATTACTTCGTACTGCCGGTAATACATAGAATTTTTCTGAAAAAGCATGCATCCAGTCCTTTTAGAATAGAAAAATCTCATGAATTATGAAAACGTAAGTGTATTCCGATTTTATAAATATTCAATCTTCATCTGTTTTAAATATTTTATTATGGTAATAGCAGTTTAGTGCACTGTTAAACAAGAACAGAATAAAATAGCAAGAAGCATGAGAGTATCATGTGAAGTTAGTCAACAAAAGTGAAGCAAAACAATCACTAGCAGAATATCTACTCTAAAATTACTTTGTGATTATCAAATAAGTCAATGTATAATTAAATATGCAGCAATATAAATTGAAAAAAAAAAAAAAAAAAAAACCTGGTATGGCGCTTTTCAACTTCAATTCGAACTGAACATTGCTTGAAGGTGACGTTGGGCCACGAACAGTAAATAGTGTGATGGAAGTTCGTCTCGATGAAATTGGTTCTTGTTTTGGTATGGATGTAAACTCCCAACTTATGCGTATCGCATGATTTTTACACGCTTCTTCAGTTAATGAATCGCATAAATGGCTCAATCGGTTACAGCGACTAAATTGCAAAGTGTGAATCGAATATTGATAACATGCAATTAATTAGTTCTTTCATCCATAAGTTAGTGGTAATTTCAGCGTCAAATTCTTATTTTTGAAATTGTTTGATAAGCAGAAGAAGAATCAAACAGAAGATAAAGACTAAAAATCATGCCAGAGATTTATTGTGAAGATTTGACAAATGCTATACTTTTTATAATTTTTGTCGTGCATGTAATTCAGTGGACAACGTATTACATGGCATTTAAAGCTTCCCAATGTATTTACACAAATCTGATCGTTCCCTTGACACTCACCTTTGGCACATTCATCAACATCTGGAAGTCAAATTATTTACAGGACATCACAATTAATCGATTTCATTCCACTATTCAAATTTAACAATGGTTTCAAAAATACTGCATAAAAATCTTTGAAGATTGTCAAATTTTTACTCCAAAATTCAGTTATGAAAATAGCTGCTACCTTTACATGTTCGGCCATCTTCTTGTATTTCATAACCAACAGGACACTGACATTTGTAGGAACCTGGAGTGTTAATGCATCTGCCCATACAAAGGTCATCACCTTCAACATGAGAGCCAAATTTAGTCAAGCAAGTGTTATTTATAACACTAGTTGAATACAAATGTATACCTGAACCAGCCCAAAGAGTACACTCATCAATATCTTCACAGGTAACACCATCAGCACCGAGACGATAACCGCGCTCACAAATGCACTGGTAACTGCCAGGTATATTGATACACTTTTGCGCACAGTTTGCTTTACCAAGACTACATTCATCAATATCTGCAAAATGAAAGTTTAGAGTTTGCCGTATTTTTAAAACTGAGCACAACATAAGCCATTTGTACCTAAGAAATGAAAGTTCATCATTATAATATATCAATCTTTCACGAAATGATATAAGAACTGAAAAAGGAATAGTTTGTTACAGGGTCAAGTCTTCCAAATTGAACCCAACTCCTTTCTCTGCATCTCACTCTCTTAATATTTCCATTTTTCCATTTTCATATGTTTCTAAATATTAGTATTCTTTATTATACTAACCATCACAGTTTCGCGCGTCTTTGGCAATCTTGAAGCCATCTTTACAGTGACATTTGAATGATCCATACGTATTCTCGCAAGTTGCATGCAACGAACAGACGTGTCCCGCAAACTTCTTACATTCATCTACGTCTTCGCAACGTTTTGTCTGAAGCATAGTGACATACTCGTTTCACAGCTAAAACGTTTCATTAAATATTGAAATATATGGAAAAACTTTAACCAGCTAATTATTTAAAACATTATGAAACAACAGTGCAAGGAAAATAAGGTGATATAACTGTAAGAACTTTTTTTTCCAGTTTCAATTTAATTTAGTACTCCTAACTTACCGTATCATTGAATTCAAAACCCGCTGAACAACGACATTTATAGCTACCCAATAAGTTAATGCATTGTTTGTCACCACAAAAATGAGTCCCATCGGCGCATTCGTTAATATCTGAAATGTGGACATTATCATAAGAAATAGATTTTTTACTTTTCATAACTAAATCATATAATTTTTTTCATTTCAAAGCGCACTTCTACATGACATATGTTATTGTCACTAGAATCAAATAAAAGCTCTATTCTTAAGCATTACATACCTTGCGGAACATTTCGCTAGCAACACCTTACTACTCTGTTTTGAAAACAATGCTTTTTCTTACATTCAACAATATTTACCGACACAGAATCCAGTATCTCGATCCATACGATAACCGTTTGTACATAAGTTTCCTCGTTCTTGACAGCGGAATGAACCAGGAGTGTTTATGCATTCTTCAAATTGCGCACATCGCCCTATTATTTCGCATTCGTTGACATCTATAAATTTAGACATTATCTTAAACATTCTCTTCAATCTTCACTTCCGTTAAACATTTGAATGAAATATTAGATAGTTTCAATCTTTTTTTTTGTAAAGTAAACAAATAAAATATCTGCATACAAATTGAGAAAGGAACCTTCACAACGTCCACGAATTGGTTTATAACCTATAGGACAGTCCATATTTGTGCATTCACCAGTTCGTGGATTCATCAATTCACCTTCAGCACACTTCTTCGGATCACAACGATAGCTGCCCTGAGTATTACGACATTGATACAATGGTCCGCAGTCATGAGAACCAAGATTGCATTCATCCACATCTGTCGATAGTTATACGCTTTTTTTTTTTTTTTTTTGTTAAAACTCACTGAGCTGATAGCTCACGGAACAGTTCATTTCATACGTAGAATAGTAAAATGAAGACTCATTCTCGAATAAAGAAGTATTGGTTGCAAAAAATTCTTTAAAACGATATATCATTTATCATTTGTTATAACTTAAGATTAGAGAAATACACTGTTGCGATGATGAAATAAATTTGGCAGAATCAATTAAACTATATTTGCAACCATGTTAATTATTAATTCCATTAATTATTGAGCAATACTGAAATTGTCACAAATAGTATTAAAATTCTTGAAGTGTTAATAAAATGAATATAAAACACACAAAAAAAAAACAGGTTAAATTAAAGTAAACCAATGCACTGTTCAGTATCGCTATCCAGAGCATATCCAGTACCACAGGACAATGTTCGTATGCATTTAAATGAGCCAGGAGTATTCAAGCAACGTTGACTTTCCAAACAATCATCCGCTAGTAGTAAGCATTCATCAATATCTGAGATCAAAAAAAAAACCACATGCAGATATCAATCAGAATATGAAAGCGTTGGTTTATATTCCAATTCAGAGCCTTTTTCTGAATTTTTTAAATAAGTCAATTTAAGAAATTCATAATAGTTATGTGTTTAGACTAATAATGTAATAATGAGAACACTCATTTATTATCAGAAATTATCATTGGTTTGATGACAAAAATTTATGAATAACGCTACTCTCAGATGGTTTTTATTCCAAGTGTATTTAAATATTTCCTAACTTAAAAAAAATGAAAAAATAAATAGCCGACATTTGCATTTTGCGCAAGAAATTACCTACACAAACGGAGCCAATATCACTCCAATAGAAGCCTGGTAAGCAAACGCAGGAGAACGATCCAGGTGTATTGAGACATAATGAATTAGGCAATGGGCACACCGAATCCCGTGCATCGCATTCGTTTATGTCTAGAAGCCTGGCTTTTTGGGTAGCAAAAAAAGAAATTAAAGTAGCTGCCAATTACAACATTAAAACAAAAAGCAAAAATTTGGGAAGCAAGTGGTTCAAAGTGAAAAGTGACTTCACGTAGATTTCAAATTATTAGTGATGAAGGTAGGACAACAACGGTGTGACATTTTTTTTGAAGGCATTCATCTTATTGATAATATAATTACTGAAAAGTTTAACTTCAATTGTTTATTTGATTGCCAGTCATTCATATTAGCAAATAATATTCCCAAAATTATCTTTCAAATTCAAAAACAAGGATCATATTATAGTGAATCGGACTGCTTTTGAAAAAAAAAAGGAATTTTTATTGTAAAACAAGCAAGCATAATAAGAGGCTAAAAATATACTGAAATTTGCTAGAATGCATACAAAATGCAATGTTCAGGCATGCAAAATACGAGACGTGCATTTTTATAAAAACTGCAATTTTTGAAAAAGTTAAAAAAAAAAAATAGCAATGTATGAATTACTAACAACGATAAGATAACAAGAACGCACAACTAGACAAAATTAATAGATAATCAAAAAAAAAAAAAGTGTAAGATTTTAAAGCAATATTACCTACGCAGTATTCTGAAGATGACACACTTCAACCAGCAAGACACATCTTTTTCATTTCAATTTCTTCTAAGATCGCTTGATCCTTTATAACATTAGACCAAACGTCATTTTCGCTTCCATAAGATTGTATGCTCTCATAATACTATCACCTAATAACAACGATATCTCACACCGACGGTTTTCTCATATCGTTTATTATTCGGTGCACAAGCAGTTGTGATACTAAGCGAAATTTTCTTACACCACCTGTTCGCAATTGATACATCCCACTTTATTCAAAAATTATTACCAAATACTCCTCAATGGGTTAAACATTTTTTGATAAAAAGCAAGAAGCTTTACAACACTGTGCCAAATGATGGTTTAGTTGCAATGCAGGCAAGCAGTCATTGAAAAATTAAGCATGTGCAAAATTGTGCAATAGAAAGGTGCAGCAAAATACCTTTACGTTTGGTTATATGAAAAAGCTCGCTAACCAATACAAGAGTAACCATCCGGTCCTAATTCATACCCGGGATGGCAAGAACACTCCACTGTAGCACCTCCTCGGTCTGTACATAGATGTTCACATTTTGTAGATATGCAACGATCACCAACACTCAAAAGATCCAGCAAATCCGAATTACCTAAAAATATTTAACTTTCAAGTGATATTAAATTTATTTCTATGTTATTTATATTGTCTCATTGCTCACGAAAATAAAATGCAATTACTGATTTTCCAACTATAGCTTCATTACAGTTAAATTTTTCGTTCATATACAGCTTGCCATATTTTTGGCAATTCCATTTTTTGAATAACTGAGGATATTTGCTCAAAGGTATGGTATGCATCACTTGCATAGTTCACCATATATAAGCACTTGAACACCTTTCAGAAATATATCAAGATAGTAATTATAAACTTTCATAACGATGATATTGTTTTGATTTTGCATTTTCAAAACAGCATTGATGAAAGGAGCGCAAACATGCTGCGCCAAAACCATTCGGTGCTACACAGCTTTTATCATTTCGTGATAATTCCTTGGCCAAGAGACAACATTCACAACATTCCTATAGTCATAATGCTTTAATTATTTTATCATATTGTATAAATTAAAATAGGGATTGTAATTAAGTGTTGAAATTTACCATATATATAAAATTTGTTGATCAATTCCTAACAATATATTCAACAGCTAACTGATAATTACCTTACGAATTCCTCCGCCAATGTCAGTAATATTTAATAAACATTGATCTTCGCTTTCAGCCATTTTTATACCATAATTGCAATTATGCTCCAGCAATGTATCCATGCAGCATATCGATGCTGTCAGGATGCAGGTACTAGCCGTTTCATTAAGCTTTATTTCAGCACACGATAATAACTGTTCAAAATGTATCTTACCAATTGTGCAGCAATGTGATAGTTCGCTTGCATCAATAAAAGCTGTAATTTTCTCTTCACTTATAATTTGATATTTTAATTTTAATTATTACATTGGAAGAAAATTGACTTTTGATTTTTGTTGTTAAATTAAAGAGGATTAAATTCTCAATTTTGGATGTATTCTATTTCATGTACTATGCAGAACTAATTTAAATAGATATCCTTGTGTAAAATGGAGAAATATACTGAAAATAAAATAATCCAGTTTACTTAATCTAAGGAATAATTCAACCACCATAATCAGACATTCGCTTTTGACTAGCGACCAACAAAAACATGCATTTATTCCAATAGCATTTAGTAATAAGATGCTATCCAAAAACAAAAAAATTAAAAGCATATAAGTAACCTACCAACGACAAGTATAAATGATAGGAAATTTGGGTTTCTTGTCAATTGCCGCATCGAAAATTCCACAACATCTTGAAATATATATTAAAAGTCTTTGATTCTCATCAAAATCACTACTTCCTAATGGTAAACCTTCCGAAATCAGTTAGTAAGATTGATATATACTGAAAAATAAAAAAAAAAAAGTGTGTTAGAGATATATCTCAACCTGTCATTTCATCAGAAGAAAATAGTTTTGCATTTTAGGAACTGACACCGACAACCACAGCGTGAACGATTTCCTCTCTTCCAATTTAATTAGCTAACACAAACCGCAACATCACTGGTGATTTATTTGCAATCTTAAGGTGATAAATATGTTACATTACTATGCGTCAAACTAATGCCATACTTCACGACATGATGAAAAATATTAAGTTAACATTTTATTCGAAAGAAATTAAGGGAGAATGAAAATTCTAGACTAACAAGAATCGGAAACTAAAACGTCGTCGTTTTCGAAATACAGAACAAACTACTATGTAAAGCGGTAACTATTGTTTGATTAATTGAAAGTATAAAATCAAAGAAAGGAGAAGGAAAAAACATGCAAAATTTAATAGATAGTTAAAAGATTGTACGAATAGCAATGATACAGGAAAGCAGAAAAAGTGTGATTTGCATGGTTAATTATTGCTTCCAGTAATGGATCAAATGCTTCTTATGCAGCTTTTCAGTTAGCGAGTTGTGATGATAAGAAATGATCTATTTAACTTTCAGCTTTCTCCTTTTTTTCCTAACTGAAAAGTTCAAACAAAGGAAAAACAGAAGAAGGAGTGAGATAAGTGTTGTGTGTATTAGATGTATGTGTTGCTTCCAGCTCGAGAATTCTTGGCATTTGCTTATCTCGTTTTTATCTTATCCTTTCAATTATATCATACCGAATAAAAATTCATTTCTTTTTCCTAACAATTGAATCATTACCATCTATTTATTTACACTATAATAAAAATATTTATTATGATTCGGTAAATATTTTAGATGGAACAAGTTTTATAAATTATGAAATGAACACACTACATGAATTATTTTCATTAAGTAATGTATGGTTTAGTTATGCATTTATAATTTCCAAACAAAATAGAAAAGTGAATAATGATGTGAAAACGTTGAGTTAGAGAATATAAATGAAGCAATCTGTTGTAATAAGAAAGCATGCATATCTTTGCTACTTAATTTGTGAAACGCAATTTGGAAATTTGGAAATGTTGATAAACATCATAGTAAAGATTATTCATCAAAGAAGATATTGGAGAATAGGAAGCAAATATGATAGTTCTAGTAATTATTACAAACATTATTTATTCCTAATGTTTTAATATAATGATTACGATGTATGCAGTAGAAGTTTTGCACATCCAATGCAATCCAGCTTTAGATATTCGGGTTAGAAAATAGCAATTAACTCATTCAAATTCGTAAAACAATATTTCAAATAACAGAACAGTTGTTAGTTAATTATTTAACGAAGACAGAAAGAAGTATGTACGTGGTTCCTTGATAAATATTCCAAGACTGCAATACAAAAATAAAAAAAAAGAAGCACTTTAACAGATTTCACGATAAAAGCTGTCTAGCAACAAAAATGTCGATGATAGCAAGCATTGACAAGAAGTAGATAACAGCGCCCAAGCAGCACACATTAATTACTAATCATCATTTATCAGTATAGCAACCAACTTTAATATTGCATACAGGTGCAGACATGGACACATATGTAAGTAGGTGCATATATTTTATTATATATGTATAATAAACAAATAATAAAGAAATTGAAACCCGAAATGAATTAATGATAAAATAGAGGAGAATATGCGTGTAACTTCCAGAGTGTAAAATGGATGAGTAGGGAAAATATTTTGAGGAAATAATACATTCCAAGACTGATTGATATCGGCTAGCATTTCTGAGGTGCATATTCATGGTTTCAATCTTTAGTCTCAGTAATTGAGTTCTATCGATAATTAACCATTGCGAGATGGAAAATGAACAAAAAATTTATAGTCTGATTAGTTTTGCTCCCATTATGCGACTAATTATTGTTTAAAGGTGATTTGATAAATGAGAAATTATGAATTGCTTACGGCAAGAAAATGAATGATAAAATAACAATATATAAAATTTTATTATATATAATTGCAATCTGTCATTAATAACCAATATTCCTGTTAATTTCTCGCTGATTTGATTTGATCCCTTTTCTTTTTTATTTTTCCAATAAAAAAAAAAAAAAAAAATTAGTATAAATAGAAATCATTCTTGTGTTTTCATATTTAACTATATAGTGGTTTGTATAGGATGCGTAAAAGTAAAGCTTAGTGGTTTGAGATACCATTAAATGAAAGATCAATATTATGATGTAAAGCTTACAGGAAAGATCTCTATGGAATTGAAGAGGCAATAAAAGAGTCCGAATGGAAAATTACCGGAACTAGCAGACACCTAATCAAAGTAACTGAATAGCTAGAAGTTGGATAGCATTTCCTGAATATCAAAATTTCAACTACTAATATGATCCAGTTAGTTAGTATGCAATAAGTGAATTTAAATTCCATCAAAGCCAAGTTAAATACATTCTTATTTATTTTTATCGTATATAAGATTTAATACCATTTCAACTCTGATTAGAAATTATGAAAGTTAAAATGATTAACATTATTAGACTTGTTTTCTTCTAGCGTTATCATTACGTTGATATGCTGTAAACATCCCAGAAGACCATCAGTTTCAAGGCAACCTGCGACATTAGCCGAGGCCGCATCATGAGTGCGGGAGGGAGTAGCAATGATTTGTTGTGGGTTTTCTAAGCATTAGAATTTGTTAGTGATTAATATAAACGGTAAATAAGGTGCGGAATTATAATGTTTCATTCTCTAAAGACGAGGAATAACAGTGTTTGCACAAAAATGATTTCAACTGTACTCGTTTTCATATGTAATTTCATTCATTTCTATTTGTCTAGCACTTTTATTTCGTTATAAGTAAAGTAACTTATTTTAGTTTTATTCTTAATTTAAGAAAAATGTGGGTTCTATAACATGCAACATTATATAGCTCCATGCTTAGCATGGTACTTCTGCTAGATTAATAATTGGAAAATTCTAGTTATTGAAATGAATCCAACGAGTTCATTTCCGAAGTTATCAGTCGAAGAACTAGGATTAAACAAGAAGTGCAAAGAAGGAAGAGCTGACAGTGATTCTTATCAGCAGAATGATCAATATTTGACGCGATTTATTCTATCATATGGTTTGTTGCTTTGCTACTCTGAACGTTGTAATTGCATATTCTTCACGTAAGATTCGGAAGGTTTTGTATTTCATACGGAGGAAAATAATGCAATGGAATGTGAAATTTGGAAGAATGAGCGCTGCTTTATGTATTTCTAGACTATCTCCGGTCGAATTTTCCAGATACCACAAAATTCTGGGAAATATCAAGTGCTTTTAATTTATTGCGTATTCCTAGCAGTTTGCAGTATACTGTTCTTCATTGTCCACAATCTTTATTTTACTGATGGTAGGAATGCTGCTTTGTAGTTGGCTTACTGAGCAAGGCATCAAAGCTTTTATTTCAACTGAGATTGCTACTATTTGCAATGCTAACATAGGAGATTACATTGTGCAGCAATTCTGATGCTCTAAGAGATTTTAGCGCAGTTAGATATCTTTAAATTTGATGCTTTTATATATTTTCTTGTTTATTTAAGGTGAACTTCACGAGAAACAGCTTCACTTACTTCGACATCCAAAGACGGGCAGTGCAACACTGTATGCAATTGGAAATGAAAGAGTAGAAGAATTGTTGAAGTTTGATGACGGTTTCAGGTATAGTTTGTGAAAGCTAGAAATTTCTGCAACAATGTTACTTTTAAAATTGAGGCACTGGAAATGAATGAAAACATTTTAGAAATGGAAATGATCGGTTTGTCGATATGTACGTCTTCTTTTTACAGTACAAAATTTTGTTTGAGGTCAGTTCTGCTTGGCAATAATGTGGTTAGTAATGGCTCATTAATTTTATTGGTACCAGTGAGCCCCGTACTGCTATTGCTACCTTATTTGCGAAAATTTGCGAAGGTAATAATTTGCGATCATTTATTAAAACAAAACGATACATGAACGTAAGTAGAGATCATTTTTTGCATCAGTGGTCATACTTTTCTCAAAACACTGTTTCAGTACCAAAAACAGTTTTTTTAACAAATGCATGATGATTTGTATAAAAAACTAGATTTTTGAAAGCACTTATCTGTATTATGCCAAAAGTGAAAAGGTAAATAACATCAAGCTTCTGTATTTTTGACAAAAGCTACCAACATGTTAGATATATTTAAAAATATTTTCATCGTCATTTCTAAACTCAGTCTTTAAGTTTAGATTGTTTGATATATTTTTCTTTAGAATATTTGTGCTTTTGCAGGATAATTACGTATCACTAAAGGAAATTTTAGTGGATGATTATTTTCCATCAATAAAATTGCTTGAGAATGTTAAAGCTGTAAAGTCATCGTTGAAGCATGCTTGTCATTGTAAAGGTTCGTGCGCTTCTTAAATTGCTGTTTTAGCGAGTCTTTTTTCTTTTTCTATGGAATGGTACCATGACTTCCAGCGATATTGGTATGATATATCGTTTTTAGAAAATGCGTAAAAATCATAATTCATCTCACATTTAGAGATATCAAGTATTGAAACATACAAATACAGTGAATCCTTGCTGATGGATTATATAATGAACAAGATAAAGTTGTTGAAAAAATCTGATCATTATAGTAAGTTTTTAATAAATTGTTTTGTGGTTGCTTATAGGAAATAGAAATAATTTTCAAGATCTCAACACAATGATTTTTTCTTTCAGTTGAATTTTAGCTCTTTCTCGGTGAAGTGCACACTGAATTTTTTGACTTGTTTCGAGATTGTTTATAACTGGTTATAAATATTACAATGAGAGATCAAGTTTCAAATGACTATAAGAAGAAAATAAGAGAAAATCGAAAAAAAGGAAAATATCATGATTATGGAAGGAAAAATAGAAAAAATTGATGAGACATTTATCTGTTTTTAAATGAAGTAATTTGCTAGTGATCGGTACTGTTAGTTTATTTAAGTCTTTTTGAGCAAGGAATAAGGGAAAAAGAGATAACGTTGTTACTGTGTTATTACTAACTCATGTATGTTTTTAATACAAAAAAATTCGTGAATCATGTATCTTTTTAAAAAGTTCTTTAGAATCAGATTCCGATTGTGCTGTTCGAGGTATTTTGGAGGAGAACCTCCCGGCTAATATACTGAGGTTGGTAGAAATCCACGAAGGAAATGAAGATGCGCCATCGAATAAACGCCGAAAAAAACAGCATTGCAGGGAAGGGGGAGAAAATAACTGGAAATGATACATTGCAAGCAATGGTAATATCCAAACTGCAATAGTTTTTAGTAATATGGAATTTTTTTTTTGAGAACTGAATTTGTAGAATTTTGTTCTTGTTCGTTCGTATTCTAAGACTACTTTGGAAATTTTGTCGAAAACTTGCTATAAATCTTGTTCTTCTATAACCAAACCGTTATATAGTGTCATCAGTTTTAGTTTAAATTAATTGTAAAGTTATATGAATCAGCTTTGCTTTAATGATTACGTAGAATTTTCAGGATTCACAATCATTGAAATGCCAGTCAAACGTACTCGCTTGAGAATATTATATTCCTAAATTGACCTATTCAAATGATCCATCCGTGCTTTCATATGACTGAGCCATTTGTTTTGTGGAAAAATAGAATTTATTGCCATGTAAAGCCCAAAATTCATCCTTTATTGTTATCGGAGTTAAAAATGGGATCTTCTTAAAAAAATGCTTCTTGATGCTGATGAGTGCCATTATTTGCACATCTTGTTAGGAAATTACTTCAGAAATGGATGTTTGCAGATATAAACTTTAATATAATTCATCTGTTGTTTATCATTTTTCTGGGTTTTCTTTCCGCTTTTAACTGAATTTGGATGAAATTTGTAGTAGATCATGTCGTTTTAATTAATTGGTTTAAGTTTGGTAGGCATGTGTATTTATGCAGGGAAGGGATTATTATATATATCACCCCCAATCGGTGTATTTTCATTGGTCTCTAAACGTATGGTCATTTTTTGATTTGTATCATTGGCGTTACTGTGGAACAGGGTAATAGTGGAGCTTGCAGTGCCGATAAGTAGAGGCAGAATCTATGTTTTATCATGGAATATATAATATGCAGGAAGTTGACTAAATCATCTTTTGATAGAAATTATTCATTCATGTTTGGTTGACCATATATATTATTGATGACTTCATTCAGCGTCTTGCATCACTAATACTGGTTATGCACAACAATTAGTCTTTGGCTATGGATAAGTTGGATAAAGGCTTGGTGAAGATACTTCAAAATAAAGCAAGAGGGACTGTTGCCATCTTTGAGCGGAGCGTGGGTTTTTTTTTTTTGTGCTGATCTTGAGTTTTATATGTTTGGGACTTGGACAGATCCCCAAGCATGTTTTGCTGAGTAATGGGCCTCTCTAGGCTCAATGTTAATACGAAAACTATATGTCTGGAGAAGTCTATATTTGCTGTCAAGATATGTCATTAGTCACTTTTTGATTATACGCCTTTCTATAAATAGGGGATAGATGCATTTAATTGATAATTCTTGTATTATCTCTAAATAGAAAGTCGACTTTGTTTTATTGTAGAATATCCTATATATGTAAGACTGTTTAATTTTAGGAGTTTTATTCATGCTATGATGACGATGCACTTTTCATTGCAAACGATGTTTTTTGCAGCGAAGTTGGTCTTCGACGATGCAAAATTGGTGAGCATATTGCTTCTCAGGGTTCAGTATTAGTACGAAAAGTATATATCTGGAGGGATATATATATTTGTTTATATTTAATACTAAAATATGTCGTTAGTCATTTCTTGACTATACACCTTTATGTGAAGTGATTGGCATATTTGATTGATAAATATTTGTAGGTGAAACCGAATTGATGTATCATGTCTTAAATAATACGCAGTATTTGCGCGTTGTTCATGATGCTATCTTAGTGAAACATTATCGTGTGGAGGTATACACTGCAAGTGCTGGAAAGTGGAAACTTAAAGCAAAGGTGAGCCTTTTGCTGGTTGCAACAAAACTTTTTTGGATTTTTTGATTGCTCTGTATTGCGCTTAAAAAGATGAGCGAAGAGAATTTGTGAATTTCGCCTGTTCGCTCACATCTATTGCAAGTCATCATAATGATTATTAGTGAAGCAGAAAATGAAATGCATATCAATTTCAGACTAAATACGGGAAATAAGAAAAATTTGAATGATTTCTGTTATTCGTAACGTCCGACTAATAATGCAGTTTCGTTTATCTTATATGTTATTGCAGTTGGAAATGAGGACCTCATCTAGAATCCCCTTTTCCAGATCTTATTTCAGCAGTTTTAAAGCAGTTATAAATTTATTTATTTTTAGGGTTCACTAGGATGTTTAAATGATTTCGAAGATATTGTTGGTAACAGTGCTGAATTGTGCGAGCTTACAACAGTTGCAGCATTAACTGTGACAGAAAGGCATGACTCCACCGAAGTACCGTCATTTGTTATTCATTACTCTGGTCCTTGTACATTTTTTAATTTCTTCATGTATTAGAAAATTTTCCCGGAATTCCTCAACTGATAATCAAAACTAAATTTCCTAGGTTTTTTGTGAACTTGAAGCTATCTTTTATTCAGTATGTGGTCTCTGTTGTTTCCTGTAATGTTCGGGAAATGCAGCTTACAATCGCTGAATTCCTTGATACTGATCACTTTGTGAATTTGGAGGTAAGAGCAAATGATTTCAATAAAAATTAGTGTCGTTCATCTAAAATGGTCGGAATTCTGGTGCTAACATGATCTTTGTTCAAATAACTCATATGAAAATCTGTTTAGAAATGTTTGGCTGCATTGGTACCACGAGAATGTTTGCTGGTTCCGATTAAAATGGGAATATCGTGTGTCACTTTATCCAGTGAAAATAGTGGCCAGTTGCATGCTGTACTCAAAAAAGCTGGTATTAAAAAAGAACTGTTTCAGTTTAGTGAGCGGCTTCCTACTGCGCTTTCTGATCAAATAGCTGAAATGATTGATCCAAAATATAAAGGTAATTTTTTGCATAAGTTGTTTATTTTTCCATTTATTATGATACCTTTATTGAAACTCGAAACAGTTGAATTGATTTTGGGTATATGTAGAAAAATAAACACTGCTTTTCTCATCATACAAATTTAACATGGATCGAACCGATTTCTAGTACAGAAATATTTAGGAAAGCATAAATGTCGTAATTCTAAACATTTTTTGAAGGTGAAATTATTCTATTACTATTTTATTATGCATTTTTATCAAAATCTTCCTATGAAAGATTTGCTTTATTTCAGATGTTCATCTTTCAAGGGCACAGAAGGCTTGCTTTATGGGGTTAATTCAACATTTGAATTTAAATAATATTGGAATGAAAAGTGGGAAATTTCAGTTACGTAATTACAAATCGGCAGGTTACATGTATTTGAATTCCGCCACTATAAAGGCTCTCGAATTGTTCGCTGCATTCCAAGAAGATGGTATTTTTTGTTCGGTTATTTATTTACTATGTTTATGTAACTATCCAGTATGTGTAACCTTCTTCGGTACGACGATAACTAAAATAACGTCTGAATAAAATATGATAATTGGATTAAATTTCAGAAGATTTGATGAATGATGTAGGCTCTCTTTACGACTTATTAAATAAATGTCGCACTCCTCAAGGACAACGCCTTTTACGTAAGTATTGAGAACGTAGTTTGGATCTAATTTTTTTTGTGCTTATTTAAACGAAACAAATAGGTAATGTACTGCAATCATTTCGAGCTATAGCATACCTTTCAATTTCTTTGATATAATTGTAGGTGACTGGATTCGGCGACCTTTACACGATATACGCAAAATTAATGAACGACTGGATGTAGTTGAGGCTTTTGTTAATAATTTTTCGTGCCGTACTATACTTCATGACGATATCTTACGTCGAATACCTGATATCACAATAATTACCAGAAAATTAGTACAAAAGAAAGCAGGCCTGCAGGTTCTGACAAAATTTTTCATGACTATGCGAATTTTCGTCACTTTTTTGAGTTTTCTTTCAAAGAAAGTTTTCATATCTGGAGAGAGGGAATGAAACAATTAGAATTGCTGCGAGAAAAAGGGGAAGCTTTTCGTTTTTAATGGTTTTTATGGTATGTTAAAAGTAAGTATCAATTTAAAGGAATGTTATCGGCTTTACCAAGTCGTCCGTCTGCTGAAACGATTCCATCAAGTATTAGATGAACTTCATGCTTCTTGTGGTCCCTTGGCACCGTCGGTTAATGATTTATGCTTGGTAGGTGTACAAAGCTATGTTATCGTAAAAGTCTATTTGTGCAAACAGTATTCTCGATTTCATCTGTTTGTATTTTACAACCAAGAATTCGTCATTTCAAGATATCTTACAGGAGCCGCTTGCTCTAGCACAATTGCAGTTTGAAAAGTTCATGGCACTAATTGAAAATACAGTCGATTTAGCTTATTTGAAAGAAAAGGGATCATATAGGATCTTACCAAGTATCGACGAAAATCTGCTAGCAAATGCTGAAAGAATACACAAAATTGAAAAGAAGTGCAAAGCTGTGTTAAAACAGGTTATTTGTTGACTTATCGATTTACTATGCATTTGCTAGATCAATATTATATTAGGTTGATATTTATTGTCAGGTCGGTATATTTGTTTGTTGCTGGTATTTAAAATATTATTTAGATATTTTTTTTCAGCTTTGTTCTGGAATAACGGAAACAGTTAAACTCGATAAAACTGAACATCATGGTTTCCATTTCCGAGTCACTTTAAAGGTGAGATTTGCTGTGTAACGTTGATCTAATTTGATCTGTGTAAAGATTAAATAGTGTTAGATTTTATTTAAAAATTTTTCTTCGCTAAAAAATATATAGGAATATGCGATTTTTTGCATGTTATACATTTGGGAGAAATAATGTTTTCAGGCTGAAAGATCAATTAGGCAGTTAGGTATGAAGATTCTTGAAACAAGTAAAGGTTCCGGTGTACGCTTTACTTGCAAGGATTTGGATACACTTAATCGCGAATATTTGAAACTTGCTTCTTGCTACGAAGCAATTCAAAGTAGTTTTGTTAACATGGTTGTCGATATTTCTTGTAAGTTATGTTTTCATCACTTAGAAGTTATTTTATTTTTTTAAAGAATTTATTTTTATTTGTTTAAGGAAGTTGCTGAAGAACAGCTGTCTAGTATGTCGGAGAAATAAAATTTCGGACATATTGTCAATTCAAGGATATTTCAGCTGGTTATGCCTCAACATTTTGTGAGTTGTCTGGTGCAGTTGCTACAATTGATACTTTGGTCGCACTTTCTATATTGGCCAGTAGATCTCCATCAGGTTATGTGAGACCACAGATACTTGACGAAGGTCAGTTTTGGGGATTTGATTTTAAATAATTAGGACGCTTGTTGAAAAGAAGGGTATATTCTCTCATCTTGTTCAAGTCCATAACTTGTTCAATATACTTCTTTGTTGCTTTTAGATAAACAAGTTCTAGAACTCAAGAAGTGTCGTCATCCAGTTATGGAGGCCAATCCAAATTCTCCACAATTTATATCTAATGATGTAATTCTCGGCAGCGAACAAGGAGGTTACAACCAAATTATTCTCTCGTTATGAATGTTTTATAAGTTTCAATTTTTGTCTTTATTTGTAGCGAAACTTCACTGTTTCATAGATACAATCCGTTTCAGGTGATGCAATGTTTTTGATGCTGACAGGCGCAAATATGGGAGGCAAAAGTACTTACTTACGTTGTTGCGCAATTTCTGTCCTTTTAGCACAAATGGGCTCATTTGTACCATGTGAGAGTGCTCGGTTTTCTCTTATAGATGGAATTCATACAAGGTAGTTTTTCGCTTTGTAGTTGCTTATATCTTTTCTTAGTCATATACACTATTTTGCAGATGGTGAGCTCTCAGTTTTTTTGATGATTTTTATTAATTTCATTAATGAAGTTATGACTGTTGCTTTTATAAATTTAATAGATAATCCAGAAAAGGAAGACTGGTTTCACTTTTGTGTGTTTTCTTTGATATCAGATCTAGGGAGTTATGTTACATTTAGGAGAAAAAGTAACTCATCTTCATGCTATACGGGATTCTGACATATGACTTGATGCAGTTTTGTACTTTAATAGTTGGATCATTTATTTTATACAAACTTAAAGCATTTATGGTTAACGGCGGTATACAGTTATGTTTCATGTTTAGGATAGGCAGCTGCGATTATCAGTGTAAAGGAGTTTCCACTTTTATGGCAGAAATGAATGACTGTGCATCAATTCTCGAAGTCAGCTTCTTATTCCTTAGCGAAAATAATTCATTAAAATAGTTCATGCCGCAAGTGTCTTTCTTTTGGAGACCTTTTTTGAAAGTCTTTTGGAAATTTTAACAGCTGAAAGTTTAGCAGTGTTTTCTGTCTCAGATTATTATATTTTACAGTCAGCAACTTGTCATTCTTTGGTTATTGTTGATGAGCTTGGACGTGGTACATCAACGTATGATGGCTTCGGATTAGCTTGGGCAATTGCAGAGTTGGTTGTGTTTTCTTCTGCAATATCTTTTCGTTATCATGTCTTCATATTTTAAGGTTAAGCAAAAAGCGTTTACAGAGATATTGTTTCACGAGTGAAATGTTTCTGCATATATGCTACGCATTATCATGATTTGGCTGGACTAAGCCGTGTGTATCCGAAGCAGTTGAAAAGTGTTTGTACCGCTTCTCAAGTTGATGAGAACGGACAGCTCATTTTACTTTATAAAATAATACCGGGTGTTGCGGGTCGTTCTTTTGGCTTAAACATCGGTAAAATGGTTGGTCTCCCGGAAAATGTTCTTCAGGTATGCTGATTTTCAAATCAGTTTTAATTTTAGAACTTAACTTAGATATTTACGAGCAAACGAATCAAAAAGCTGTACGCTTGCAATGGTTATCTGAAATGAAATATTTCAGACTGCAAGCGACATGTTGGAAAGCCTGGAAGCGAAAAATTCGAAAATAAGTTTAGATGAACAGGAACTGTACAGAAAGATTCAAAGTTTTGGAGACGATGAGCTGCGACAACAGCTTCTAGACAATTTGATAAGTGAGGAAGGCGACTAACTAAAGTACTGAACCCGACTGTTCAGATGGCTTTTATAGTTTTATGTGTGTACCTGCTGTATTCAGTCTCTGAATAAAACCAAAATGTTACTATACATAATGTCTTCAGCAAAGAGTTTCTTTTTTTCATTTTTGTTGTTTAAACAACTTAACAACAACCGCTGATAATTTATCATTAGAATTCTTGTTAAACACTTATGATAACAAATGTGATTAACTACAACTGCCCTACAACAGTCAACAAATATGTACTATTTTTGAGCACTCCTTACTTCGCTTCAAGTCTCTCTGTGTCAATCTGTACATCCGAATCCAAATACGGGGTGGTGTCTTCATTAGAAGCAGCAATACTAGTATGGTATTGAGGAGGATCATAGAAGTCGCACATCGCATCCGGGCTGGGATCACGTCCCTGAATGATTAGTTTCAAAGAGCTAAAAATGAAAAATAGTCGAAAGGCCGTTACCTTTTTTTTTTTTTTTCCAAATTCTAAGGGGCAAAACGTTTTAATTTAATATACCTGGAAGCGTCGATAAAGTTCCCTCTGTGACTGACTCGCTCCCTCGAACAAAATTGCTTTTTTCAAGCGGTCGCCAGTTGCACAAACATCATTTTCTTTCTCGAATGTATCATGGATATCCAAAGCCAGCATCTAAAATGAATTCAAGAAAATATATAAGCGCACACATCCCAATGAGCTCATTTGAAAGAATCGGACTGAGTTTCCATAATTTCTAAGAATCTGTAGCACTACCAAAATACATCATAGCACCACCAGGAAGCGCTACACTCCCATGATACATTGGATCACTATTAGAACACACTGAGAAACTAGTTCGATACTCCTAGCTTATATCATGAATTAAAAAAAAAAAAATACCATCTAACACACAACCACAAAGGAAATGCATATTTACGTACTACAATAGTACGAAAAAAAAATTCCTTTTCAATTTCGTTCCTTCAGCACAACTTAGCAAAAGGCCATACCTCTGCCCAAAGCCGATTGTAATACATAGCCATCGACATACTTTTACCAAAAATTGGAGCAAAAGAACACGGTTGCATATCTCCTTTTATATTTTTGAATGCAAAATATTCCGTCAATTTTTGGTGATATATTTCTTGCCATGTAGTTCTATAAAACTCATGGACAAATTAAAAACGTGACCACCATAACTTTGCTTGTAGAGAGAATTTATAGCCTTAAAATATTAATCACATGGGAAATCGACACCATCACTTAGATATTACAGACGTAAGATCACACTACCATTACAAACTAAGGCTTACTTAATGCCACCCCATTTTACAGTTCTGTAATCTCCCAGAACTTGTATTCACAGATCAGGATGGGAGTAATTTTTCCTCTAAGAAATGGTATTCTATTTCTCTCAGTTTTGATGTATGCTCAGAGGAAAATCAATTGCCGATTTGTTTTCATTCTAACAGAGCACTACATATGGCAAATTCTTGAAATAAGCATCCTAACATATGAGGAGTATAAACACTTCCTCAAAGCATGAGATGATGCAGAAATATTGTTAATGAAAGAATTACAAAAACTGACTGATCAGTATCTTTCATATCGAACAGCGTGAGGTCAAAGTCTGTCCAAAATAATGCACGATAAGTTTCGTAAAATGTAGAGCGTGATAAACCCAGTGCAATACTATTGGCTTTGGTTTCCGATAATGCTTCATGAGTTTTCTTAAAATTAATACATTATATAAACAAGTTCAATGTATTTCCTCAAAAGCAACTTAATTAGGGTTGAATCATTACTGCTCAATGCATATCCCAATGCTGTTGCAAGCATAAAGGTAAGAATGAGATATAAACAGTATGAAAACTTGCCAAATGTTTGCAGGATAATGCAGCTAATAACACAGGCTTAAAAATAAAAAATTGCACAATAGTTGGCAGCAGATCCGCAGCATCCATATCATGAGCGTGGAAAATTTTCCATGGCACTACCAGATCTCTGTATGGTGATTGAGAGAGCAAAAGTTGCATTGCACGACCTGTCTATAATATTTAAACCAGCTCAATACTATTCACGCATATATATACCACAGATACTGCAGTAATTTTTATATTAGGTATATCTTGCACTTTATCTTACGGTTCAAGGCATAATATTTTGAGAAGTATAAACCGAATCTAACATGCTAAAAACGATCACTAACGGCAATAACAGTTATATAGCAGATAAGGGCTCAATACAAAAATTTTATTTGCTTAAATGAAACTATTCCTAGATTGTGTCACGCATTTATTCGTCCACTAATAAAAAATGAAATTGACAGACTTACATAGAAAAGAAGATTCTGTAATTCTTCATAATGCAGAAGTGCGGATGAGTCTAGAGAACCGGATACGCTGAGGTTAGCAAAAAGATAAACTATTTTATCCCATCTATTTTCAGTGCAATAATCTGGAATTTTTATACTGAAAATAGCACCATCCAAAATAATAAGTCACTGATGGGGAATGTCTCATAAACAGATGATCTAAACGTCAAAGAGTACTATTATTCCATCACGCTTTAATAGTGTTCAGTACTATAACTAGTAAACAATAACTTACTTCGTCCGAGCAATGCGTCCCATGTACAACACTTATTCGCCCGTTCAAAAGGATCAACATAAAGGCGACCCAAATGCAGTCCTGAACAGTAGCCAAACATAAATAATTCCTTGTAAGTAAACAACGTGCAGCATATTTCCTTCGAAATAAATCAACATAGCACTGCAATGCTCTACGCTAACGCTATAGGTCAAAAACAGTTTACCTGATGAGTCTGTTAAGGAAAAGATCCGAATATCTGGATGACACCGATCAAGATTGCAATTAGTGACATCCTTTAAAAAATTTTATATTATTTAATTAACATGTAGAAGTGTAGTCGATGAGTGCACTATTGAAAAAGCAATGCAAATAAGTCAAGTGGTTATTAGCAAATAGAGTACTGTTAATTTAAACATTAAAGACGAAAGCTTACTTCAAACAATACACCGAATATATATGAAAGGACTTCCAGCATGTTCTCAAATGTAGGCCAGAAAGGGAAATGGTACATGAGATCCAAGGAATCAATTCTGTAAAATGAATAACTAACAAATCTTTTATGGCAAAAGCTAATACAACAAAAATATATTAATAGGAAACTGCAACATGTCCATATTATAGATTAGATAAAATTACTCAGCAGAATAAACCTACTCGTGCAAAGTTTCCGCCTCCTTACGGCAAATATAATATAGATCCGATGGAGCTAGTGTATAAATTTTTTCCTTCTCTGCAGCGAAATCAGACCAAGCTTGCATCCGATCATCGAATAATGGTCGCATTCTCCTTGCTAAGCTAAAAAACATACTCCAAAAAATAACGATATTTAGTAGGTCACCAACAATCTCAACATTCTTAAAAGAGAAAAAGAATCAAGATCAAGCTATAAATATCGTTTAAAAAACACATTGTCATATTTTCAGGAAGTGGAGGAATTTAAAAATGTTGTATTTTATATTTCACAATCTCTGTGACCTTGTAATTTTACAGTTCAACTCACAATACATTTCTCCAAATAGTGAACTGTTTAAACACATACACCGATTAAATAGTCAACTTTTCGCAACAGCATGCTATTATACAGTGATTCGAATAAGACAGTAAATGAAATTCACTAACGCTTTTGTAAATTTTCGTACAATTTTTGGAGACTCCGCCATTTTATAAGCCAGCCGATATTCAGCATACGTAGTAAATCCAAGCAATGCAGCTTTCTTTCCCCTGTAAATATTACACAAATCGAAGTATTCTGTGAAAACATTTCTTGAGCAATAAAATACTTTTTTTTTTACCATGTTTTCCAGCTCATTTATCTTAAGCTTAGTCATGAATCCGAGAAACAAACACAATTTTTCTTGAATTTAAATCAAACTCATCAAAATATAAAGAGAAGGTTAGCACGTTAATTGTACCAACTTCTATCACATTACGCTTGTAATATTCATACAGCAACTTACTGATGTCTCCTTATCGTTTCAATTGTCCTTGCATTACTCGTAACACGTGCTAAATTATGCGGTTTTGAAGCACGAGAAATCCATTTATCCCAAACAGTTGCGCGAACAGCTTTGTCAGAACAGTAAGTCAATATTGGTTTTATGGATTTTGCTGTTGCAGTAACAAGCCATGGTCCCTCTTCATATTTCGTTCTACAAAATTCATCTTGTAATTTCACTGCTGTTCACAAATATTTCCTCACACTTATACAAATGTAGCAGTAATATGCATCGACAAAAAAAAAAAAAAAAAAATGATTGGATTGCCTGTTTACTGCAAGTCTCTTCAACACTTCTGGAGGTGCATCATTAAACACTGCTCGATCTGTAACTTGAATATCCTCCATATCTTCTGAATTTTGTAATACTGTTCTAAATAGGGTAAATTCATTCTAAAACGACTGTAAATAACAAGTATATATATATATATATATATATATGCATAAAGATTTAAGCATGAAACTCGCCAAAAATGCCCAGGCTACATGTCGCGACATCTATAAGACCCCAATAAATTAAATATACCTATATCTAAGTATATAATGTTCAACAAAACTGTCGTGTCCTACAAATTGCTCATGTTTTTTCGAAGTTTCACCCATGGCTATTGACTTCATTTGTAGATAATAGAAATCGGCAAGTCTTCGCTTCCAACTGTCAGTACTTTCACTTCTCACACAGAGTGTCTGCAACTCCATATATTAAGAAAGCCACAGCACAGCAAAGTAAGATTATTTCCTGGAAAATATCAGGGTGACAACAGAAACGGTTATTTCCTGGACAATATCAGGGTGACAACAGAAACGGTTTGGGGCAAACAGTTTGATGGTTTATTTTACTACGATAGAGTTTTTTTTAACGTTGAATATATGACAAACTCGACAAATGATATATGCTTTTTCCTTGCTCATTAATAAATGTTAGAACAGCTACGTCTCATATGAAAGCAAAGTGCCAGGGAAAGAAACGTTAACCTTAACGGCTTTAAAAAAAATATCGTACTTCCATTTCGCAGAAACTTCATTTATGGCTAATTCATGAATCTGCAATTAACAACTTCAAAAATTACCCAAAACATAAACGTTTTTTCTGCCAAAGAAAAGCGTCCAAAAAATTATAATACGAGCGGATCTATTCGTAAGAACAACCACAATTGAAGGAACAGAATTTTTAAACATTCAAATGATAAAAATCCAAGGGGTCGCTCAAAAACCATAACTCAATCTAATTTGAAGATATAGAATGCAAATATTACTTTCATAAAATCAGCATGTAATTCACGAGAACTTGGCCAGTCTGTAAGCATTCTAGTCCACAATGTGTGAAAAGCATATAAGACTTGTTCTTCCTCGGTTAGAAACGGTTCAATAACATTTTCAAAAGTTAGATCTTCCGGTTTTACTGAAGCAAAACGCTGTAGCCATATATTCATGAATACGAGTGAGGATATAGAACGTAACGTTTTCATTACTGTGAAGAGACTAAAATTCTTACGGCAGAATCTCTGGATTTGAAACTTTTCTTCAAAACAACCTTAACAGCACAAGGAGGATAGATGAGAAGTATTTCGAAATTATTTATAATTTTCGTAACAAATGAAAATGTGTAGCTTACTTCCTTCTAATAATTTCATATGTTCATGCATTGTGGCTCCATACTCTAACAGCATCCGAACTGTCCCTTCATACATTTCTTTGGCTAAAATTTAATGCTAAAAATTAATACTGTCATAGTGTATACATTTGAAGTAATAACACAAGAACTTACGAGGTGCACAAATAGCTGGCCAGTCTTCTGTGTTGCAAATATTGGCCACAAATCTGTTATTCTCCGGCGTAGCATTTGGCACAACAGGAAATCTGTGACAGTTAAGCAATATGTTCATCATTTGAACAAAATAAAATCGCAATAGACCGATACATCTTTGTTAATTGTTAAAAAAGAAAATATCAGGAAAATGCAAATCATATTCAAAGTAATAAAGTTGAATGAACATACAAAGCATAATAACCAGCATGTCGATAAGTGTTTGATAATGAAATAGCTCGTCTGGAGCTGAAGGAAATCGACCCCCAGCTAGTTGATGGTCCCGGAACAGTTGCATCTTTCGACAGAACACGGCCAAACCAAGCTGCCTTCCTCGCAACGACCGATACCATCCCTGCAAATCATTACTTAATAATGATGTTTTATTCTTATCAAGACCGGTGATACAAACAAGGATAAGCTAAAAATGTTACCCATGACAACTTTACTTGATAATAATTCTAATTTTAGCAACAACGAAAATATAAATGAAGAAATATCGTTAACAACTGATAGAGTTCAGTTGTAAATAATTACTCCGAACTAAGAAAAAAACAATAAATATGAACAATAAAGTATGAACAATAACAAACAAAAAATTGTTTGGGGAACTGATTGTGCGATATAGCAGTACATAGCATTGAATGCAGAGAGACGGAAAAGAATGACGAAAGATGTCGCAGAAAGTACAAAGATTGAAAACAAAAAGTTAAGTATATACAAAGATGTCAACAAACTCACACGTTGATCCAAAAGCGTTTCAATTTGACGGGCTCCGGACCGTATTGCAATAGCAGTTTCTTCCGTTTGCTTTTGAAGGACGCCTCTGAACCTCTAAATGTTGCTAAATTTTTTTGTTGACTGTATTCCTTTACTAACATAAATTAGACTGCATACCTGAGAGGAATCATTATTGGAATTATCAGATCCTATAACACTTTGGAAAAAGTTACGAAAAAATTCAGTTAAGGCTCCAAACTTCCTCCAATACTATCTGCTGTGCATTTTATCCATTTAACAAATTTGACCGTATTCCTATCTGGATATTTATCCCTCAGTTATAGTATTCCATAATGCACCGGGAAACTAGAAAAAGACCTTTCCTGTTAAGGGAACAGTATTAGTAGGAATCAAAAAGTCAACAACAAATGCATTAATGCAAATAAAAGATAATATAGTAGGGAATTGGAAAAAAGAAAAGATGACGAAATTCATGAAGTTTCCCTTACTATGAAAAAATACATGGCAGAAGTTTTCAGGAAAGACAAAGTGTAAGGAACAGTGCGTACGGAAAACGTCAATGAAAATAACTCAGGAGCACTATTCATGGCTGATATCAGGTATGCCATGTTATCAGAGTTTTTGAAGATTTATTTTGAAGTCGATTAGAAGCATAATATTTAGCTATATGCAAATTTTCAGCATAAAATGCGCTTAATGGAAAAATCTGCACTTTTACTTTTGTGAGTCACTGTACGCGACCTCAACATTCTTGTGGTATTCTTTTATGATATCTCAAATGATAGTTGACAAGCATTTGCTTTGGCGAATTTTCAAGTATATGACATTATAATGACATTGTAATAGTAATTCAAGAAATTCTACGTTATTGTAATATTATCTGTGGCAACTGTAGTAGATTATAATGCTACCTTTAGTAAATGGTATCTTTTACTAATTTTTTTTAAACGTAATTGACATATGCTTAGAACATGATTCTGTTACAGATTATTAAGTTTACAGCGATAACAGTTACATCCATATTGTACAATGATGTCGCATTCAGTGATTAGGCAAAAGGAAGGTCATTGGCACTGTAGGAGGCATCAATGAACGGATTTTATCACTGATACGTACCTATCATTCATTTGTATTGTCTTCATTTGTTTATTACCAGTTGACTCCTCACAATAACTCTCGAACATGAGGTGAATTTCAATGTGCTATAATTTGTTCTTTAATAGAGAAATTACGACGAAGAGAATAATTACTTGTTCAAAAATTTTCTGCACGCATTAAAAGTCAAGGAACCACAAGAAATCAAAGTTCATCGAAAAAAAAAAAAAGTTTTACTTCTTTGAGAACGATTTATGGTACCAGTTTCTACCTTCGCATTCATGAGGCTCAGTAAGACGTGACACTTTCACAAGTTCAAAAAATCAAAAAATCCGTCACCTCTTCCATTTTTTTCTCTATCGCTCTTCCGACTTTTTTCATTGAAATTGTATCATCAGTCCTTTAGGGAATGTGTGCCAAGCGCATGAAAAGATTTACTTAAGGTTTCCACTTCTGTCAAAGCGAAGAAAAGAACCATGCGACATAAATTTGAATGGAATAGATGAGTTTTATTAGGATTCATAAAATGTATTTGTTTTGTGTATATGTTTATTTATGTTTAATGACTGTAATTAAGACTATGTTGGAAGTTTGTCGACTTGGTTCAAGATAATTGAAAAAAGGTCAGAAGAGAATAGCTAATATTATTCGCTTGGATTTATTCCCAAACGATGACGATTAATGAGAACATCAGTTTAATCATCAGTTGGATGTTTGTATGTGTATTGGACGGGTGTAAGTGTATATGTATACATTTGTGCTTATATGGGCGACAAAATACATCACAGGGAAGGAACACATGGCAGTGTCCTAAGATAACTATCCGGATGAGCCATTCTAAGAAATGACAACTGGTGCGTTACCACCTGAACAACCTCTTCCTGTTTTCTATTCAGAACAACTATCAAAGATCTCTTCTTTCAGGTGTTTCTGTGGTTGCAAGCTTCAGATTTCATTCGTATCCTTTTCCAGTACTCTTGCATATCTTACCGCATTTATGTTTCCTTCCATCTTTTGTCATTCTGTTGCGCACAATGCTTCCTTATTCTTCCTTGATTATTGATTATTTTCGAATCGAAGCAGCCAATTTCTCGCTCTTTAAATCATGATTTTCCAAATTTACATATTAATAGTTTTGGAGGAACTTGCGCTTGTACCGTTTGCTAAGAACTATTACTCTGCATTCTGCTACTCGTATTGCAGCCATTTACTTCCATTTCTACCTTAATTCAGTTTCTCTTTTCATTTGAATATGTCTTTTATGGTATATTGAACGTTTACAAAGTAATTTATTCCTTATAGTTCCATTTCTTATTGCTGATTAGTAAATGAACAGTCACAAAGTTCTATTCATGGACGACACTATGGAGAAGAGGAAATTCATTCTAAGTAGGTTTCTATGCACTCCGAACTCATCCTGTGTTGAAATAGTTACAGTCTATGTGGATATCACAAACTATTTATCGTGGTATTTATCGTGGATTTTCTGACAGACAATTATACTAACCACCGATGACCATTGCTATAGTATTCAGAAACAGAAAACAGGGTATCCATATGGGGCATTTCACCCGATTTGCATACTCAAACATCTTCATTTTGTCTCGAGAAAAACCGTATATATTTCGCGCATGAACTATTAATACGTGCCGTTCGCGTATTTTCCCATCATGAACCATTGCTGTAACAAACGCTGTATTTCAGGCTTTAAATGTCCGAAAGTCAACTGGTTCACGTTAATGGTGATGACATAACGGAACACTCCTCGGACCCACTAGTAGTACCAGAACAGTCCATGCATGAGTTGGAAACCACTGCGGAAGATGATAGTCGTAGAACGGCGATAATTCCAATTCCGCTACCTTCGTCGTAACCAACCAACCAATATCGTGTCTCCCATCAGCACTACACACGTCACTGGCGTACTTCAAACATATCCCAGCACCGAACAACAATAACATGCAAGCAGTAAAATACCGCAGCAACAACAAACGAACCCACAACAACAGTTCCGACTCTTCCGACAGGATATCAAAGCACTGCGCGCACCGTTGTCAGCTCGCTTCCGTCTTACAAACGCAACAAGTAATGTCTTTCTTCAATCTTCTTCCCTCTCCTACAATTTTCTCCCTTAAACATACATATGCACACACATCTATACAAGCATATAGATATATACATGTGTAGAGACACAGACAGACCCACACGTGCTCGGCAAACACAATCACACCATTGGGAAATACAGACATACACATATAATATATACATACACATACACTGATACGACAATGAGGGGTATGTAGAGAGGGTAAGGGGGAGCGAGTATTTGACGCGTTCTCTGGGAGGCATCACTACGCTCTACGCAGTGTTTACGATTTCGTTCGTGCTTAAATCCGTGAAGATTGACGTTGTAAGGTGTGGACCGTATAGAGGAGGAAAAATGACAAGGAAGGGGTGTCGTGTGTCGTTGGGAAGGCTAAGTGCATGCATGATAACTGAATAAGAACTCTATTGGTAGGGTATATGAACTGCAGTTAAGTGAAAGCGAATTATTTTTATTATTTTGAGGACGAAGCTTTAACTTTTTATCGGGAATTTGTGCATTTCTGTAACAACTCTCAGATTCTGGATTGACTTTCAGTCGACATATTGTTGTTTCCGGACTTGTTGCATTAGGCTTAGGTTGCGAGAAAGGATAAAAGGTGATTTGTAGATACTCAACTAAGCCGTAAAGCTTTGCATTTTAGAATTCAGTGTGGCTTGGTGCAGTCATATTATTCCGGACTTGTTTAACATCTGTTTGTGGAAAAAAAGCTTCTCTTGATTATGAATCATCTCTGCATTTGTTCTTTTGTCTGCATTTCGTAGGTTCCGGCGCTGAATGATTAAATTTCTCTTTTTATGTCTTGCGAGAAGAACAGTTATAAAAGTTGACCGGCCGTGCGAGATTTGCCCAAATGCATTTCGCGCCCTTCGCGCCCTTTCCGGCTCCAAAAAAGCATAAGAAATTATTTCACGATCTAAAATCTGTTTTTTCTTCTCGAGAAAATGAGAAGTCGATCAAGAAAGAGGGCTTTTGAGTATAGTAGTATAGTTACTCTAGATGTTACTAATTGTAGTATCTGGATTCTATCGAGTAGTGGTGAAAATGAATGCTTACACATTGTAAGTGCTTTTCGAAATTCGATCTCAACCGTATTCTACGTTATCAGCAGGAAACTATGAAAAAGGATATTGTGGCATTATTCCCTGAGCTATATTACTCCCTACATTGTTTTCCCTATAGTTATAACTTTAGCGGATCAAAAGTAAGCCTGTCAGTTGTTATGGTGGCTCATACGTGGAATAACACAGTGGTGATATATAAATGTGAGTAACAGTCATATTTTAAGAGAAGCAGGGTTCGCTAAATGGGATTAGAGGAGGGTATTTTAAGGAACTTATGTATGTAACTGAGTAGACTGCTCTAATTTAGGTAATTTATCATTTGCTCGCCCTTGCATCTTGTAATTCGTTGCATGCAGCTAATCCAGGCCGTCTATTGAACCTTCGTATAACTCCACGGTAACCTAGTTCGACTTGCAATGGTAATTATTATTCATATATGTATTATTGATTAGTGGCTGACTTCATTAGTTTGATAAATAGTTTAGCATCATATTGAATAAAACATTGGTCAGTTGCGCATGGGTAAGGTTGTCTGATACGTACGTTGTTGTATCAGTTACAAATTTTTTGTACACAAATGTATACATTTACAATACTTTAGACAGCCCATTTCGATTTATGTGTAATGATTGATGCTCTCTGGTCAGTGTGCTAGGTAATAAAATCTATTTCAGAGTGAGGAATTGAGGCCTTCGACCTCATCTACGAGCACTGTGGAGCGTGGTGTGGAATACTCGCTGGCTGACGCCGCAGACCAAGGTCCACCTGCGAAGAAACCCAGGCAAAATATTTTTAAGTTTGCTTATTAATTTTGTCAGTTAATGAAATTAGGTTGCCCTGTCAGTGTTAGAAATTTATATTTTATCAATGAGACCTTAATTTCAATATACAATTGAGAAGAAAAAAGGAGGAGTGGAAGCCGGGCTTTTGTTGTAATTGGGGTTTCAGATATCCAATGGAGGTGAATCGAGTTTCTTTCAGGAGCATGCAGTCAGCAGGAATTCATGCACAGCAGCAATCACCTCCGAAATCTGTTGGTCAACGCATAAAAGTATATTTTCTTCGTTTTTTCTTATATATATATATATATATATATATATATATATCCAGTCACCTCCGAAATCTGTTGGTCAACAAAAAAAGTGTATTTCTTATATATATATACAGTTTTTTTTTGTATGTTTATATATACAGTCTTTTTTCTTATATATATATATATATATATACAAAAAATAAAAATAAAGATTTGTTCTCAACACTTTACTAATAAATTGATTAGATTAGATTGGAAACTTTTGCGTAGCATTATGATAAACACATGATCTTTAACTTTGAATGGAGCAGAGATTTACTCACTTTTGCCTATCATTTATCTTTCGCTTTTCATCTTGTAGCGTCTGTAGTTTTCAGGAAACTTTGCAAACATCAAAAAGTCAATTAAGTCGATCTCCAAATGTCGCTGATACGAGTCTTGTTTCGGCCCCGATGTCACCTCCTCCGCTTGGTGCCGCAGAAGTTAATACAATTCGTATCATCGGCCAGTATCTCAAAAATCTTGGATTACAGTATGTTGTTAAGCACATCAATTATGTAATCAAATTTTCAGTGGATAGTTTTAAATTGTTATCATTATTTAAAGATGGGTTTCGGTTGCTACCTGACTCTTTTTATTGAAAATGACATAAATATACATAATTACATTTTAATTTTACCACCATTATACTGTAAATTCTCTTGAACTATATTTTAAGAGTTCACGAAAATTTTAATGGTTACTAGATTTTAATGGCAGGTCGTATTTTCAGGGAAACCGTAGCGACGCTATTTGCGGAAAGTGGATGTCGTCTTGAAGATACCTTAGCGGTACGTTTACGCGAATATATCGTAGCAGGTGAATGGGATCATGCCCTTGGTATCGTGGATAAAATGTCGCCGTTTGTTACCAGTCTGAATTTATTGCGCATCCGTGAGAAATTGTACGAAGAAAAATTCGTTGATTTGTTAGGCAAAGAAAGGGTAATATTTTATATGCATTCGATGGGTAAGAACTTCGTATTTGATTACTTTTCAACAAAGACATTGAAGAATTGTACATCGAGAGTGGATGTCTTTGATATTTAAACTTTTTAGTTTTCAGGTTCTGGAAGCACTCAGTTTGTTGACAGTAGATTTTCCATCAGATCCTGCATTTTTTGATCGTCGGAATTTTCTTGCAACATTGCTATATGTTGACCCAAAGGTATTTCAGATTTTTTGAATTATTAAATATTTTTATGCTTTGCTTATTATTATTATGAACTCTGTCTCTTTGAGACGATGTTTCTACTACTTTTCTTGAGTGCTCATTGAATACATTTTTTGTTGCATTAGTGTCCAGAAATTCCATTCTTCCAAATTACTCGAATCTACTTTTTAAAGGATTGATGGAAATACAGAATTGAAAACATGCCTTCCTCATAATCATCTATCGTAGTTAGTTTTGTCTATTTTGTCTAATATTGATTTAGAGCGTAGATGTATGTGCGAAAACAGGAGCACATCGTACTGAACGAGAGAGAAATATACTGGTAGCTGAAATTCAACAGTTACTACCCACAACAGTTATGCTACCTTGTAATAGGCTGGAGAAACTGCTCATGCAATGTAATTCTTTTTTTCTAGTTATATTTCTTCTCTCTTTTTTCCTTTGTTTCAACTGCTGCATTGACCGCACTGACCACATCTGGAATTAATTATCGAATAGGAAATTCATAACTCCACAGATTTTTTTACTATAATTGTGTCATCAAATTTATGTCAAATGTTGCAGCATGGAAGATGCAGTGTCGCGAATGTTATCTCCATGTTAGAGAGGATTTCGATGTTTCTCCAGATTATATTTTAGAAGACCATCAGTGTGACTGGGATCATTTCCCTATGTTTACTTCGCAGGTACAGCATTTCCTATGAAACGATCTGTTTTTCTTGAAAAGTTAACGATATGATTCTGTTGCGCACATATTTGAATCGTCACCAGGTAATTATAATAAAGCAAGTATCTCACATGATTTTTTTATTTTTATTTTTTTTGGTCAGAACGTTATACGTTTTTAGGTGTTAACAAAACATACAGATGAGGTTTGGTGTGCGGCGTTTTCACGTTGTGGAAAATATTTAGCAACGGGTAGCAGATCTGGAGCAGCACACATTTGGAAAATAATCAATGAATCTACAGTTGAGCCGTACAAAGAACTTACTGGTATGTCGTCGTCGCTTGTGAAATCTTTTTATTTCCTGCTAATGAAGGGAGAAATATGAATCTCCGTTTATTTTCACAAAACTGTGTTACGTGGATTATATATTGTTTAACAATACCCTTTAAACATCAGGACTGTGAATTCTCGTTTCTGTCTAAGAGAGAAAAATTTACCAGATTTTTTATTATATTCAGAAAAAAAAGTCAATTTTCTTTCTCCTTACACTCATTTCTTCTCCCTAGCTGTTTTTACAACTTCAGGAAGAAGCAGTTCATCGTTGTTAACTTGGAGTGATGATGGTGCGCTTTTAGCCGTAAGCGCTGCGGAAGGTCACTTAGCGGATGTTCACGTTTACGATGTACATAACGGCGTCATATTTTGTGTTGTCGAAAACAGAGCGAACGACAGCACTGTTATGTCGTTTGTTCCGAACTCATCAATCACTTATAGACTTGTTTGTGCTGATCAAATGGGACATTTTTGTCAATATGTATGTTTTTATAGTTTTTCCTAAGTGATGTTTGTTATTCAGGAGTCATTTTTTTGATCATTTTCCG